GATGATATGTACAAAGATCTTCAGGGGCAAGGTTGCAAAAATAAAGTTTGGGCCAAAGTTGCAGCAGGGCTCACAAGGACAGGCCTCAGGCCTCAGGCGGCTTTGTGTTGAGGGCGCTGTACTTTCTGCTGGCTGGTGTAAAGGGATGCCATTTTGGGCTATGCTTCGCGAGCGCATACATACACGTAGATGAAAAACTGTGCGTATAAGCATGTTGGGAATTATGTACCCCTTCAGAAGTGGTGCGAAACTTCCGTACCTGCGCTTCCAAAACCAGCGCCTGATCCCTCATCTTTGTGCTTTCCACTCATTCTGCCTCAAACTCACTCACTCTCACTCATTCTCACTCAGTCGCTCGCTCACTCCTTCCCTCCACTCTTTTTTCAGTGCTCAAGTGCGGAAATAAAGGGATAGGCGATGCTAAAGGCACGGGAGGTGATGCGTGATGTGGAGGAGAAGGAGTGAGAATGAGTGAGAAGGAGTGAGAACGAGGGAGAATGAGTGAAAAGGAGTGAGCGTCACTCATGAGTGAGTCAGACTGAGTGAGCGGAAATGAGCAAGAGTGAGACGCATGAGATTGAGTGAGTAAGAATGCAAAGTAAGAATGAGTGAGTCAAGTGAAAAAGAGCGAGCGAGAATGAGGGAGCGGGAATGTAAGAGTGAGACTAGTTGAGAATGAGCGACTGAGAGCCAATGAGTGCGAATGGGTAGGTGAGAAGTTACGATGAGTGAGTGAGGGCGATTCAGAAAGAACGAGTGGCTCAGCATAGGTGGGCGGGTGAGACTGAGTGAATGAGGGCGTCGAGGACGGAAGAGGAGGCGGCGGCGCAAACACAGCGTAGTAAAAGCACGAAACCCTCACAGTGCTGCGGGTGAGAAAATCGCAGCATGTCCAAAGCTGGGCTGCATCTCCGCAGCGCTATCATACGCAAGCATTGTTGCAATAGCCAAGTAACCCTGCAAACGCATAGGGGAGCAAGGGATAGTCCAATGGCCTCATGGCCTGCGTTTGGCTGCAGAGTGACCATCGCAACACTTTCTAAGCAAAAGCAAACGCTGTGCCCGGATTTTCTTCCAAGCTCCTTCCAGCTGCAATCTTATCGAGACGGCGTGTGTAGGCCCTGGCCCCTCGAATTTTGACGTAGAGTCCTCAGCGGCACGTCAAGCAACTCAACTGACTCGTTAACGCGGACCTTTAGAAAACGGTTCCCACAAACCTGTTTGTAGTAGGAAAGCTTGGCACAATTGTAGGAGGTGTTTCAACTTGCGCGTGAAGCGTGTGAACAATGGGGAGTACCTTTGCTTCACCTATAACCCGCGCATCATGAAGAGGCCCAGCCAAAGCAAAGCAGCCAATCAGCGACACTTTGCATGGACACTGAGAATGCAGCATTTTCAGGCTTCCCCGTGGCAGGCTTCTGGTGCGAAGGGTCTTGAAATTGCACCCAAAATTTGGTTCTACGAGCCTTGACACAAGTTCGAGTGGCCCAGTCAGTGTTTCAAGGGAATTTCACCTCCTCATCGTTATCCAGGTTCTCTATTGAAACCTCTAAATCTTCGGCAACTCGGGGGGGCGGGGGCGGAAGCGGTAGATTAGGCAGTGACAACCCATGACACTCATATCCACTTTCCATTATCCACACTGTTTCGCCACATTCACCACCTCTGGTGTCGGTTTGCGAGATCGGGCAGCTTTTGGAACCTTAGTGTTTTGCCTGATTCTTGCTGCATTGGACAACACACTTGTTGGGAAGCATACAGACTCATGAAGAATATGTCGAGCTTTATGTGCTTCACCGGCTTCCTTTTGTGAACCTTGGGGGGCCGCGGGGGGTGGAGTTTCACAGGCCAACATGTTTGAAACATGGTCCTAACCCTTCAATCAAAGGAACCGCCCCAATGCATTGGAAACGCTGGTCTAGAGCTTGGCAATGGTGACTTCCCGCACGAACTTGTGGATTTCAGGGAGGGGTCGGGGTGCCTCAAGGGATTATGTGTATTTTTTGCGCGGGAAAGATCAAAGCTAAGGTTCCTTCGTGAAAGTCTTGAGCAGGTTTTATATCCTAGAACATTTTCAGGAAGGAGTTCAGTTCTGCTTGTAGGCCTGGCTTTGCAGCAATCTTGTTGAAGCAGTTGCCCCTATCACATCGGCACTCGCCCCACAGCAAAAGCTTTTGAACCCGAATAAAACCCTTCCCATTCTCACTGTGCCTTAGATCTCAGCGTGTTGCAGGAAGAAGTTGGCGCAAGCAATGCTTGCAAATACTGCTAAGTGTAAATCAAGTTGCTTGACCCCGTTGTTTTTCTCAGCTGCAGGCAGTTGGCGTCTTGAATTAGCATAAATCTTAAAGACTGGCTCGTGGGCGGTTATTGAAAAGCATCTTCAACTGCAATGGTGTGGCTAGACGACTGCAGGGTTGACAGTGTGAAGCTGATATCCTTCACAGAGCCTGGTTGGGCAGCAGTAATTCGCCGGTTGAGGCGCCAGGGGCCGAAGCAACCTTAAGTGCCCAAACTTGCTCGACCTAGCCGCACGGGCTGGAGAAACGCCATATAAGCGACAAGTACCTCAATCATTTTCTCCATTTTCAAGCGCGCATTTGCCAGTTCCATGTGCTTCACTGCAAGCCAACAGGCTACATGGGGCGGCATGGCTGTGACCTCAAACTGCAAGAATGGGCCCATTAAATTCCCCAACACAACCCCCGAATAAAACGAATTGACCCTCGAATATAATGAAATCCACTTATTTGTAAATTTTGTAAAATTTGTAATTGTGGGCCAGATTTTTGATATTTTACAAATTTTACAAATTAATTTGTAAAATTTGTAATTTTGGGCCATATTTTTTGATATTTTGCAAATTTTACTAATTTGTAAATTTTGTAAAATTTGTAATTGTGGGCCAGATTTTTGATATTTTACAAATTTTACTAATTTGTAAAATTTGTCATTTAATTCCTACCAAATTCCCCTGGAAGCTAATTTCTCAGACTAGAATTTGTAAGATTTGTAAAATTTGTAATTTTGCAGAATATGTTCTTTACCTTACAAATTATACAAATTAATTTGTAATATCTGCAATTTCATTCCTACCAAATTCCCCTGGACGCCAATTTCTCAGACTATTATTTGCAATTTTATGAAATCAATTCCTATACAAGATCTGCCTGAATCCCAGCCCTCAGTGTGATGTTGATGCCCAGACCTCTCCCCGGCACATTATACATACTCTTCCCTCTTACGGGGGGGGGGTTGAGTGGGGGGGGGGTTGAAGGGGGCGGGGGGTTGAGGGAGGGGGGGCACAAAATGTTTGGTTCAGCGTTTGGCCCAAGTGTTGAGAAGCTTTGGGGGTGGGGTGTTGAGGACACTCAGTTTTGCCCTTCAGAAGGGTCTGGGACCAAAAAACGCCTTGTTTCCCAGGGATCCTTACATTATACACCTGAACATTGCCTTGTCAATGGTGGTTTCCCCTTATTTTGGTTGAAAAAAACATGTTTCAAATGGGCAAAATGTATCTTTTAAGGAGCCCTGCTTCTTCAAGAAGGCTCATTAACTCCCAACCCTTGATTCAAGGGTCCTTTAGCAAGTAGTTGGTCGGGTGTCGAGGCGAAGCGGTGACTCCAGAACAAGGTCCCCCCAATGCAGATTCCTCTACAACATGACTTGTTGGTGTCCATGTTCATACGGAAAACCATAATACAGAACATGTGAAAGATACGGCTGTGGGTGTCAAAACCGTTTTGGGATCCCATTTTGGATGGGATTGGTGAATTCACCACCCATTTTAGTCTAGTGGGGATTGGGATGCTCACTGGGAAATTACGGGCTTCTGACCCATGGCCATATCCCAAATGCCACGTTTCAAGGTTTACCTGAGATACCCCTCCGCAAGATTTCCAGGACACGCCTTCCTTGAGGGCTGGGGCGGAGGTTCGCAATCAACCAATCTCCAGAGGTCGAATTCTCCCTTCAGGCTTACACCAAAAAGCCAGTTTTACAGGTTTACATTCCCAAATCATCAATAATTCGTCTCCAAAAAAGGATCCTTTCAACCATGTAAATGATACTTTCAACATGGGGTACAGTTACTTTTTAGGCTGTGAATCAAAACCCATTTGCCGCTTGCTTTTAAAACACACATGCCACCTTTCAAGGGAAACCAAACGGCGGTTCTTGAAAAACATGCCAACCCTCCATTGCTTTTGCGCCCCCTGGGAGAAAAACAAAAAAAACAGTAGTGTTGATTCCCTTAGAACAAACAGGGGAAAATAAAACACACATTCATTTCAACCAACGGAACCTCGGCTTCAAACCCCCAGTTTGGGTTCTCCATTGCTTGCTGGTGCGAGAGGCAAGGAATGAGAAATGGAATGACATGGAATGACCCTTCACCATCCAATTGGTTTTTCCCTTTAAGGGCATCCCCGAACGGTTGATTTCCTGGTCCTCAAAGGCAACCACATGAAAAAACACATATATATATATATAATGGTCATGCCATTTCTAGTTCTCAGGGAATGACCCCAATCACCATCCAACTGGAAACACCTTTTGCAGAAAATCGGATTACCTGCATCTCTCGCACCAAGTTTGGGGTCCTTAAAGCCAGGAAGCCACACAAAATTGAAAAAGTGTTAATTCCACGTCTCATCATAGGTGGCTTTTTGAAAAATAAATGGGTTTCCCTGGTAAATGGAATACACCCCCATCGAAACCAGTGGAACCCGTCCATTTTTCACCAAACTCACCTAAAAAGGACACCTACTATGGATGGACAAAACCCATTTTCTCACCACTTTGAAACCACGGTTGAAACCATTGTTTGCTACGGTAGGGCAATCGAATTCTCCCTGGGTTTCTTAGGTGGTGCGTTGGATGAATTTCGCAACCCTCCACAGCAGGTGTCCTTTTTAGGTGAGTTTGGTTAAACATAGATGGGTTCCACTGGTTTCGATGGGGGTTTATTCCATTTACACTATGTGTCTCGTTCCCATCTCCTTCCACCTTGAGCGCCCGCTTCTGCAGCAGCTTGGTGCCTCGCCGCAAGGCGATGCCTGGCGCAGCCAGGCCGGGCGTTGGCCAGGCGTTGGCCGGGCGTTGGCCGGGCGCGCTGGGCGCCGTTGGCGGGGCGCCGGGGGGGAAAAAGTGGAGTCTCTCGGGTTTTTTGGGGTTCCGTAGTGTTCAACCCCTGTGGGTTTGCTTGGTGGACCGGTTTCAGATTTTGAGTCGCATGAGGCTAGTTATATCAGCGTATCCGCAATCGATGGTTGATTAGGGAGCGACATTGCGGAGGGCTCACACAAAAGATGCCAACTAGGGGAGTGTCGAATGGGAACTCGGGATTCAACAAGCGCTGGTTGACTAATAGCAGGTGTCTGTTTGTGTGGGGATCCTTCACTTTTTGAGAAGTCCCCCTGTTGATCAATTGTACATGAGTGGTTTTTGAGTTGTGGGGGATGTGCTTGCTTGAGGGTGGGGAAGGGATTAATAGCCCGCGGCTGATTGAAGCTTGACATGCTGGAGGTCTTTTAAACCGCCATGGAAGACACAACCAACCCGTTTACCTTTTTTGCGTTGAGAAGGGTTCCCCTACTAAACTAGACTACAGAACAAAAATGGTACCCTTATTCTAATCCCTCTACTGGCGGACCTAGCAACAAAACACCAATTTTTCAGGCCACCACCGCGCTTTGAGGTTGCCATTTCCGACCCCGTGGCTAAAGGCAGCCTTTTTCCTTTGGGTGTCCCTGACCAAAAAAAGGAACAGAAAGATTAAAATGGCTGTGGCTCAAAAAAACGGTACCAGAATGGAACTCTAGTAAGTGGAAAAATGGACCAAAACCTGCGTAACCTCCTCCTGTTTAATTTTGAGCCACACCCAAATAGTGGGTTGTCAGCCCTTGTGTTTGGAGATGAGCGATGAACACAGGTATTGTCAATTCCTTCAATACCCAGGCAAGAAACATTCACGGATCGGGTTGCCATTCATCTAAAGCACAGTTTTTGGGGCATCTCGAAAAGTGCAAGGGGACTCGCACCTAACCTACGATCTTGATGGCTCAAATGAAGCCTTGACTATCTTAGAGGTGCCTTTGCCATGCGCGTAACACAAGACGTTTTGCTAACCGAAAAGCTGGCTACGCAACTCGTGATGTTTAACACTTTTCCTTTTTTATGAACTGCTTTGTCTGACATGTGACTGTTGGCTTCTGCGCAACGTTGGACCCACACCTCATGACTCGGCGTGTGACCCAGGAAGAGGGTCATGACGTCAGGACAGTGTGAAAGTTTTGTCTGGCAATCTGAAACCTCTCCAAGGGCCTGAAGTCTTCACCCGTACCTGGCCTGGTGAGGAATCCAAAGCCGAATCTCAAACTAACAGGTACCCTCTGCAATTCCTCTCACTTCTCCACAAACTGGGAAGAGGGCTCCCTCTTGCAAAAAACTGAAACACCAAGCGCAACTCAGGCATTTGGCTGTGGGTCAAAAATAGGTACCCAAAATGGAACCCTGGTAAATGGAAACAATGACTAAAACCTGTGGTCGGTGGTCTAATTTTGACCCACACCCAATTCTTTGGGGGGGTTGAGTATTCGAAGCATGCGATGGACGCCCGGCCAAAGCTTGGCCCGACGGTCGTTATAGCTTCAACAGCACCCGGCTCAGTGTTTCGGAAACGTGCCTCCAAGGGTGATGGGCTGTAGGAGAACCAGTTCCTTCTCCTGTGCTCGCGAGCAAGTTTCCACTGCCCAAACCACCTCAGTCTTTGCCCCCCCCCCAAAAAATATATGTTTTTTTGTTTTTTGTTTTTTTAATCATTCCACGCTGTTGTTTGATTCTGGTTTGTTTTGAGTGAACCTTGCAGCCCCCCCAAAACAAAACCACGTTTTTGTTTGATTCTGGCTCGTTTGAGTGAACTCCTTGCAGCGTTTAAGAGACCTCCGGCCAAGGAAAACCATGAAGCATCGCAGCGCGGACTGTCAGGAGTGCACTTATCAGCTTGGCCGATGCAATGCCGCGCGGTGTGGTCGGTGATGTTCAGTTCGGAGCAACCCTGAGGAATGCAACACGCGTGAAGTTCACAGTTCATGTTGAAAAACCATCTCTGGCGCAAATCCCTAAACCGCCAATCAAAACCCAGTGAAAGTTTGTCTGAGATCCTCTGATGCACTACTATCGAAAGCAAACAAGTCTCCTTTGAACCCCCTAAAGGAAGTGACGCCTTTTTGCCCGACCATGTATCGGGTCAAGTCGCTCTGTTTTTGGTCCAATGGCACGCCGATAAAACAACATGCTCTGACTCGTGCCAGGGGCGGAATCGACCAAAACGCTCAACTAGGTCCTCCAGTCGGAGAGGTTAGAACAAGTTGGCACCAACTTTTTTTCCGCTGTCTATTTTAGTAGGGGAACCGAATCTCCCAACCAAAAAAGTGGGGTGATTTCAGGGCACCAATCGCTGGGAGGCCTTTGCAACCTGCCACGGTTTGGCCGCTGACTCCCCGATCCGAGGCTTCGCGGCTCCTTGAGCTTCGAGAGCAGCAGAAGAGCATCCGCCGACTTGTCGATGCGGACCACGCAGACCTGTCGAGAGCTTCCGCCCATTCCTTTTCCGCCGGCGGGACATTGCGGTTTTTGGGCCGCTTTGGAGGGCTGGCAAGGGGGTCCTTGACAGAAAAGGTCCCCCAACACTGGGTTGTTCTTTGGCTGGTCAGTGGAGATCCAGTCATTTGGCACAAGACTTAAGAGGACAAACCAAAAAGCCAAGGAATGGGTGGCTTTACGTTTGTTCCGTTAGACATGCTCAAAACGGGGTTCCTACGTTCGTGCGGTTTTGCATGCGGAGTTCAATGAAGCCTCGAATACCAAGCTTGTGAAATGGGGGTTGATCAAAAGGTCCTTTACATGGGATGACCACTGGGAAAACCCACTTGGTCATTTGGGGGCCGAAGGAAATATTGATCAACCACAATTTGCCAAAACCACAAAGGGGAAAAACCTCCAAAGGGGGGTGGTTTCCCAAAACCTGTCCTTTGAACACACACCCAAAAAGTGCGCACTCAAAAACGACGCACGCAAATGGCGGAACATCAAAACACATGAATGGTTTCCCTGTCCCTTTGAAACACCGCCTGAGGTACCCTCAACAGAACTACCTCAGTTCTTGGTCCATACCGTGGATGGACAAAATCAATTTTGCACTAAGCTAGTTGGTAGGTGGTTTATCAACAATTACTTGATCGGGTTTCCTCTATCCCAAGTGGTACCAAAAGAATTTCGTCCACCCATAGTATTTGAAGAACCTGTAGCTAATATAGTAATGTGAGAGTTCCCGGCACAAGACACACACGTTTACTTTGAGGGATGTTGGGGTCTGTGCTAAAGGGAAACAAAATGGCAAGTCCATTGTCCTCCATTTGCTTTTGCGCTCCACCGGGAAAAATGTGAAAATCTGTCCAGTAGTGAAATCGATTCCCCTTAAAACCACCAGAGAATAACAGATAAACAAGACATAAAACCGGGGAAAATAACAAACACTTTATTCAGCGAATGGAAGAAACCAAGGTGCCCCGTTGGAGAAACGCCCTTCCCAAACACCGAGGCTGCCAAGGCTCCTTCTCCTTTGGGAGTTTGGGGAAAAAACATCAAAAACTTCAATTCAGCCAATGGAAGTTGTGGGGCCTTTTTGGACCCCCAAAAACAAAAAAACCGTTGCCCGTTGCCCCCATGGGCCTTGGGCACTTTGAAGACCAAGGTGGCCGGGAAGGTCTCGAACTTCCCGATCTCTTCCACGGCCTTCCGTGTGCTCTCCGCGTGCTTTCCGCGTGCGGCGTGTGCGGTGTGGGTAAGGGAGACCCCAGATGAAGCCGTAGGTCAAGCTCAAAAGTCGGGTGGTAACCCCGAAATGGGTTGCCATTGCTCTGGTAAATGAAACCAAGGACGAAAACCTGCGGTCCATATCCTGATGGTTTAATTTTGACCCATACCCCATAATATTTTCATCCAACAACAACTTTATGTTGATGGGGGGGTGGGGGGGGGACTCCAACAGCGGTCTGGTTCCCCACATTTCACCCAGGGACACCTAAGCCTCTGAACATATCTATGGGGATTTATCACTTTTGGAGGGGAATCACCCCCCATATTAATAAACAGGGGTTGATTAATATGGGGTCAACATTACGCTTCTTCGGGCTGGTTCAAGGTAGACCCAAGCAAAACCACAAATTTGGGGGTCCCTCTAGCTTGACACGCACTCAAAGGGCCCATTTCAGGATCCGGTTTAAGTGCCCCAAACGAGTCTTCAAAGTGCCACGCAAGTTGCGAGGAATCCAAATATGCAAATCTTACAATTAGGGATCCCAAAATCAAAACAACCTACATCCCAAGAACCTGAAGGACTCCAAAGGAATCCCAAACCTAAACTCAGTGATCCCAAGGACCGATCCATGAGTAAGCGAGCTCGCTCAACTAAACGCAATCGCTCCCCCATGCAGATGCATGGCCTTGAGTCTGTCAAACGGCTTTCAGGTATTCGGATCCCTTGGTTTTCCCAAACCTACTGTGGAAGGGCGAAATCCTGCACCACCTAAGAACCCCTGGAACGATGATGCCCCTGTAAATACCAACAAACAATGGTTTCAACAGTGGTTTCAACTTGGTGCAGGAATTCGTCCATCCACAGTATGACCATAGGAAACAGGTGAATTCAAGGCTAGCCCCCCAAAACAAGAGGCCACAGGTCTGGGGGGTCAAAAGGCAAACCCAGTGGGCTTAGCAGCAAATGCGCTCCATTTGACCGAAGTTCGACGAATCTCGGCGCGAAATGTTATGAGGTGAAACGGCTTTGGAGAATGATTCAAGCACCGGTAAGCATTCTGATTAAATTTCCCAAAGCCTGTCTTGCATACTTGAAGTCTCCAAGACCAGCAAACAAGCACTTCCGGCCTCTGCATTGTTGGAAACTGTTCCTTGCAGCCACTGAAAAAGAAGCAGAACCAAAAAAGACAAGAAGTATAACACCTACCACAAATGGTCCTGATAGGTCATGGAGACTGACTCGGCTTTGGCCGGTGCGTTTTATCAGGCCATCATAGCTTTATCAGGCCATCATAGCTTTATCATTCTCTGCACGTGGCATAGGGTCGACACGGAAGCGTGCGAGGCACAACTGCATAGCAATGTCTGGGTGCAAAACAGAGAGTCTAGCATGCTCGTCTGATTTATAAATGTATTTCTGCTTGGTGCAAATATAGACTAGTTGGCGCCTAAACGAGAATTGCAATGATTACAACGCCTTCTTACGAACAATTTGGCTGCCGAGTCTACCTGTGGATTCCATCCAAACCAGCCAATGGACTTGTGTATGTGGATGGGCAAACTATTGCAGTCTTGCCACGCCAGCTATTGCAAGGCGCGGCGTGAAAAGCCTTACACGGGTGCAACAGCTCTCGGGATGAACCCCCTGCGGCCCCTGCGACCAAAAGATTCGGAAGCAGAAAGGTGATGAAAAAAATCATCATGTTGACCCCAGATTAATTCATCCCAGTTTTTATTCTTATGGGGCGGGTTACCCTATTAATACACCTGGTGATCAATATGGGGTGTGTCAACATTTGGGCATATCCCCGCAAACATGGAGGTGTCCAGCACCCAAAAGAACAGCTGAAGATTTGGGTCTATCCCCTAGGTCCTCCAGATTTGAGAGGTTAGAATAAGTTGGTACCCATTTTTTTTCGTTTTTCTGGTAGTCTATTTTAGAAGGGGAACCCTCCCCCCAAAAAGGGTAAAAGGGCACTACTGGGGGACCTAGTCCCCCTTGCTGGAAACCTGAAACGAAAGGCCAAGCCAAATTTGTTGAGTCGTGTCGAGTGGGATGGACCTGCGCGGTTCAACGCCATTGAAGACCCACTACATAGAAAGGGAAACCCAAAGGGTGCATTGCGGATTGCCGTTCAAAAGCCATTATTGATTATTTACGTGGTGTTGCTTGGACTTGGGTCGACTCCTCCGATACTAGGTTTGATTCTGACTCAGGTTGGCGTCTTTATCTGTCCACGATGGGCCCCAGGTTGGTGCACAACCAGGAAAGGTTAGTTAGGAAGGGTGCTGCTTACACGACGTGAACATAACTTGTGGATTCTCCCGAAGCCACGATTCATGGTTGGTAGTGATTTCCCACAATTCAGCCACAGCTCATCAACTCACTCCAAGAGCGCCAATATGCGGTTCCTATGAAAGAGTGAGTCCCTCAGTTTTTGTTGTGAGACATTCGTGAAATCCCCCCATGTCCCTGCCAAATTGACCAATGGACTACGGGATATGTTTGATATATTATGATATGTTGACAAAGTCTCATGGTTGACTCGGTTTATCCCGAAGCTAGAATTCAAGCACAGGCGCGCATGGCACGCGAGCTGAGCTCGCATTGCCCTATGCGCACCGTTGCCGCGTTGGCCTGGTGCGGTGGCTCACATGAAGGCTCCTTGGACGGAAGTGATCTCAGACGTTTGAGCTGTTGCCGACCCCTGGAAAAAGCGTGTTCGCCTCTAAAGACTCATTTTAGTAAGTGCAAAAGTTTTTGCCTGTATAGCTAAGGAGATCAACCTTCAAGATTATATAATAATGAGTAAGGGAGAATAAATTGTCTTGTGCCAACATTCTGAGAAATGGTATGGACAGGGGGTCCTTTTATTCGGGGTACCACCAGTTAGTCATCCCACATGAGCCCGAAAGGCTGCTAGTGTATAAGTCCGTGTCTGGAGAACAAACCTCTGATTCCACCTGCAACCCTTGTGCTCCGTATGAAGAGTGTGGGAATTTAGTTGAAGAAAGCCATAACTCACTTCCTGACTGGACAGGCCAAGCAAAGTCCAAGCGTTTTATGTACCACTAAAATGGCGTTCCCAAAGTGCTTAAAGTCCATGAACTCAGGGAGTAAGATCGAGAAACACCTGTAAACAAAACAAAACTAGAGCTTGCCAACTTGACAGGCTCCTGAGAGTGCCTCACAGCCCCATTCGGGCACCTAGCCAAACAAACAAGGCCACGGCACTTCCAAGATGTAAGGCGGACAAGACAAATGCTAAAAGTTGTTGAGGGCGCCCCCGTTTTGAGGTTTTGTTGATAAGCGCTCCGATCATGTTTATGTTTGGCTACTTTACTTGGGTATAGGTCAAAAATAATCCACCAGGATATGCACCGCAGGTTTGGTTTCATTTTGGGGTTACCATGGTTACCCTATTTTTGACCCACAGCCACCTTGAACGAAACCCTCATCCAGAAAAGGAAAAAAGGATGCCACTGAAGGTCTGGGAAAGGGGGAAAGGGAAACGGCGACGCTTCCAAACTTTCAGCAAACAGCAACAAATGTTCGAAACATCCTCAAAGTTGCAGATATTCTTCCCTTTGCTTGAGCCCGCTGGCAAAAAATCAAACACAACCAGTAGTGATCAAAACCACAAAGCAAAGGTTTCTTCAAAAAAACAAAAGAAAACTGGCGCACATCGAAGTAATGTCCGAGTTTCTTCTGCTCCCGGCTTCGCCCCTGCTGCCCAACTCGCCTGGGCTGCCACGGGGGAAAAAGCGATCTCGGCGCCAGGAAGTCACCTCCCGCGAGATCGGCGGATCGGCGGAGGCTTCGAGGCTAGTTCCTCCCTTTGCTGAAGTCGCCCCCCGGAAAAATAAAATAAAAAAATGAGACAATGTATGCCCAGTGAAATTGCTTCCCTTTACACCCGCGGGAGAAAAAAACAAAAACTACTCGCGTTTCAGCAAATGGAAGAGATTGACATCTTATCTGATGCATTGAATCCAGTTTGACCCTTGTTTGTTCCCCCCATGGTTGCTGGTTCTTTTTCCCTTCCTCGGGGTCGGCCTTCGACTTCCTGTGAACCAGCCCCAAAACTTTGTCTCACGATGCCGTTTCCAAGTGGAACAACACCAAGCTCCATCAAACTTCGTCTCTTGGAAGCGGCTAAAACCTCAATTCGGGTCACCACATTAGGTCAGCTAGGACCCCTGGCTTCTGGAGAGGGACAATCGCGCCATGCCCCCATCCACCGAATCCCCTAGGGGTCTCAAAATGGTGGACCCCCTTTTGGTAGCTAAACGGAAACCCGAGAGTAAACTCACTGTTTGTAGGGAAACCACTCTTTTCTCAGTTGCCCCTTAGGGACCCCGGAATCAAAGGTGATCACCTTTTGGGGCAATGACAAAAAATGGACCAACATGGCAAAACCAAAAGGTCAACAGGTCTGGATTGGACTGAGTTTTGAGAACCCCCCCCCAGTATAACTTCTTTGAGTCAAAACATCGCAAGGCAGCTGACGAGCAAAGAGCACCTTCCAGCGGCACGAGCCCCCGGAGCCGCGAGGCCTGGATCAACAGACCGCCCTTCGGTCCCCCCGAAAACAGACCTCCACCACCCAAAAGTCAAATGCTGATCGTTCAAGTGCCGAATATCTGCTCAATTGCTGTGCAGTAAACCCGAATAGCACGCGCCACTAAGGGTGAAGGGTTTCAGCAGCGTAGCAGGAACTGCAAAATGTGACTAACTTTCAGGCCTACCTGGAGTCTCCAGGACGCCCGAAGCATGGTCAGACATTACCAAATGGAGCAGTCTGATGCACCCATGTCTTCAATTGAGGGGTGGCGACCATCCATGTGTTTTTAGCCTAAAAACCAAGCACGTGTTTTCGACCATAGCAAGCGTGCTTGCCATTGCAGGTTTGGCTGATCGTGGGTGAACTGTTCTGCAAACCCGTGGCCACCGGAAAAGCCGGAACATGGACACC